AAAAAACAAAAAACAAAAAAACGGCGCTGGGGATATTGCTCGGGCATAAGGATATAGCACAGGGGCATAAGCGCATGCCTGGCAAGAGCAAGGTCGTGAGTTCTATCCCCGGTACCGCAAACAAAACAAAACAAAACACAACCAAACCGTACTATATCTACGCATTTCTGTGGAAACTAACGAAAGAGAAATTGGAGAGGCACCTCTCTATCATTTCTATGTGAATTAACGCCTGATTTTCAGTAGGACGGTGTTTCACCTCCAAGGTCTCAACATTTATTACCAGCAACAACTCCTCAGTAACAATTCCTTCAGGATAGTTTTCTTTCTTTCTTTTTTGGTTTTTTTTCGGTACCGAGAATCGAATTCACGACCTTGTACTTGCCAGGCAGGCGCTGTGCCGCTGAGCTAAACCCCCAGCCCCTAGGATAGTTTTCTTCAAAGGTCTCTAACATGTTCGTCACTCGACTGCTTACAAACATCGTTGTCTTCCACGGTGGAAGTTAAAGCACCATTTACATCCTGGCCCTCGTTCTGCGCCAGTCTGTGCGAGGTCGCGGTCCCCAGCGGAGCAGTGCCACGGAGGCGCGGTGTACTGTGATGTGCACGCTGCTGCTCACCTTGGCTGCAAAGCGGAGGCCAAGAGCAGGTGTGTGCCCTGCGCGGAGTTATCAGTATGCAGTTGGACGTGTAAGGATGCTTTTGCCTTCCCTTTAACACCAAACCAGGAAAACAAAACCCTCCAAACAAACACAAGTCCAACAGACATCAAAACCATCGTGGTGCCTGGGGAAAGCGCGCCAACCACACAAAGAAAAGGAGGGGGGCTACTGGGATTCAAAATCATTTCGCCGGGACGTACAACCTCCTGGACCTATCGGAGTTAACTGCGCGCTTGGTCATAGCCAATAGACACGGAGTTTCTAGTCCAGGCCCGCCCTGAAGGCTGATAGACACTTACTTAGCCCAATGGAATAGTGCGAAGATAAAGAATCAACCAATACGTTCGGGAGGTGGGTGGAGAGTAGGCCAGGGGGTTGGCAGTGCCGTGTCATGGAGGCTCAGTCTCTGAGCAGCCATTGAAGGGGAAGGAACTGCGGGTGTGTGTGTGTGTGCGTGCGTGTGAGTGCGCGCTCGGGTGTGTGGACAAGGAGGTGGGGGCAGACGAGTTAGAGTCCCAACTCCTTGGACTCCATTTGCTATTCTTTTCTTTCTCCCCCACACCGATCTGGTGGTAGTGGGCGTTTATATTTGTGATTCTTTTCATTCATTTCCTAATTTTCAAACATTTTAGGGTTGAGGGTAGTGGGAGCAGCGGGCGAGGAGAAGGAGAGCGGTGGCAGAAGAGCAGGAGGCGGACATGGATATGAAGAAGAAGATTAACCTGGAGTTACGGAACAGAGCCCCGGAGGAGGTGAGATGACTCAGCCCCCGCCCGCGCCCACCAGCCGGGCTGAGGGTGGGCTTCTGCGGCGCCGGCGGGCGCGCGGAGGGCGGGCGCGCGAACCCCCACCGGAGCGGCTGAGGAACGTGTAATCCGAAGTTTTAAATCATTAAGATCATCTACTTAAAATGGCGAAGGGCTCAAGTTTCTCGGGGCGTTTGCGTGCGCGCGGGGGCTTCGCGCTCGTGCCGG